ATGAGATGATTATAGCCAACTCGGCGCTACGCGCCTCGTTGGCTATCTATCATCTCATATCCAACGCGCGCTTGTGGAACAATTGTTAAATATATATATATATATATATATAATATATGGCTCGTTTAGGACGATACAGACTTAAAGAAGACTAACAGTCCTTATACACTTAGAATACGCAATATCTAAACCTATAATGAGTTGGAAATTCGCGATCGGTGAAGAAGATCAAGGCTAACTATCATGTGCGTCTGTCCCATGACGAGGAAGCAACGAAAAAGAAAACAAAGAGCGTTTCAAGGCGATTCAGTCTTATTGAGAACAGAAAAATATCACTGAAATTTCTACAGTATCAAAGATTACCCGACGAGACGTCCGAGTTCGAAGAGACTCTGCTCGTAAGGTAACCAAACACGCTGCTGATCATGAACGTCACACGGACTTTCCTTTGGTAATTCAAAACCTTTCCATGCATAACGAACATCTCTTCGAATCAGTCTCGTTTTGAATCTTGTCTTTTTTTCTTAAGCCCTTTTTTAGTAGATGCTAATCGACCTAATCGAGCCGAGTTGGCCTTGCTAAAGAACCTGGTGTTTTTGCATTTGTAATAAATCGTTAAGAGCTTAATACATTACTCTTTTTAATATTATGGTTTCCGTTCTGTATCGTAGTGAATTTGCTGGTCTACGGGAAACGGCAAAGAAGTTAGGACTTGGTGATACGATAGAAGTACAACTGAACAGGTGTGAAAATTTTCTAACTTACCATTGGCGATTAAAAGTAAATGGATAAATTTAGGTTCGTTTGTTCTCTTGTTTTTATGTAGAAGCTAAAGAAAACATCAAAACCACCAAGAGTGCCAGCTTATCACTAAATTAACTAAGAAATCAGCACGTGTTCGAGACTCAAAAATATCTATTATTTAATTTGAGGAAGCAGGCTCGCAAATTATCGGAAAATATGTATGCATCTGGTCCATTCAAAACAAAACTTTGTTCTCAATGTTTCAATTTAAGAGGATTTATTTCGTCTTATCGACAGAGAAACAAAAAATCAGTGGACGAACGGAGCGCATAGCCATCGAAACCGATCATCAGCTGGCCCTGGAACTACCAGACATAGTTAACAAAAAAGACAGACTGCAAAGTAAGCAAACATGTCTACAATAGTCGTCTTTATCTATTAAGTTGTACTGAATAATACGCGGGGCTTATAACTGTATATGTTTGGTTCCTTTTATAAACTGTGTCGATTCTCCATATAAGGAATATGTCAAAATACCCTGTCGTTGTCTTAGTAAGAAACGATAACTACAGGTTGATAAAACTTTGGATGGAGTTCACCAATGAATTTTTGCTTTTCTTTTAGTTGTTGTGTATCCAATAAAAGTGTCGTTTGGGAAAAACATCCCACAATCGTGATAACGGCTGCAGACTCTAGCTCTAGCTCCCTTACCACATCAACGGAAGTTGAAACAACGAATAAGGAATCAAAAGTAGACAAAGACGAGAGCAAGTATGCTCTTAAAGAAAACCTGAACAAAGAGAAAACCTGAACAAAAAGAAAACATGAACAAAGGTAGTCTGATTCTTATTAACCGCCTACAATATGTCACAGAATGTAAGTAAAAGGGAATCAGACAACTTAAATAATTAATCAGAGGTCCTTGAGGTTAAGATCAAATGCGTGAGTTATATGAAGTGTATTTTATGTTAATAGGCCTTTTGCAAAAAGTAACGGTCACTTGGCACAAAAGCCGCCATGCTGTAGGGCAAACTTGTTGTTTCGCACTGGTACATCCAAAACAAAGCAAAGTCGAGCTTCTGGTTCAGTAAGTCGCTTTGTTTGTATTTCCTAGTGAGGACATAATGATAGGCTTGCTCGTCAGCATGGCGGATTTGTATGAATTTTTTACTAGTAAATCTTTTCTCTTGGATGGAATAAATAAACTATTGCAAAAAAAATTCCGAAGAATGATCATGTCAAAAACAAGGATCGACAAGACCCCTCCGCTGTTCTTTAACTGAGCAAGCAAAGCTTGATTGACGAATTGAGTCAAATTGGGTACGTCTGTCAAACAGTAATACCAGAGCTTGACAAGTTTACACAAGAAAATCGCATGGGGATGATCCCATCACCCTTGAGTATTGCTATTGCAAATTATGGGTGGATTCTTTTCCTGGCACTTGATGTGAAGTCAAATACATCCGCATTATACAAGGGTCGATTGCACAGTGCTGTTGATAAATTAATCTGACTTAAAAAAGGCACAAGGGCAAAAGAAGTTCATTATGCGCATGGTATTCCATCCTTGCCTGTGAAAGTGGCCCACTTAGGGCAGTAGAGGTTTTGCCCAGTGCTATCGCGATATCCTTGAAAGGAAAAAGGAAAGCTGATCTCCAGGGGATCGCTAATCAGTTGAAATTGAGCTCTGTGGGAACTGTGCAAGAGATAAAGAGTCGTATAGAGGTCCACCTCAAGAAAACTGAGCTGAAGTATGACGGTATTTTGTCGAGTAAAGAGGACATGATTTTCCCCAAAAACGATAGCTAACCATCGTTTGAATCAATGGTGTGCGTAGACAGAAAACTTTTGTATGCAAGACAGAATTCTGGTGGTGATCAACGCAAAATTGTGCAACTGAGCATGCTCTCGTGTCGTGTGATGAAGACTGGGGAAAGGTACACAGTATGTGCATCAATGACAGCTACATCTTCTTGTCTAACCAGCGTGGTATAATTAGGATAGTTTTGACAACAAGACAACATTTCCTCATTCTTGATGCTTCAAACGATCCCTGCATTTTAACTAAATTTGGACCTGATCTGCTCTTTACCAATCAGAAA